ATCCTCCTGCCTAAGCCTCCCAAGCAGCTGGGACTACCGCATGCCTGGCTAATTTTTTTTTTTCCATATTTTTGTAGAAACAGGGTCTTGCTCTGTTTCTTAGGCTGATCTCAACTCTTGGCCTCAAGCAATCCTCTGTTTCTTAGGCTGATCTCAAACTCTTGGCCTCAAGCAATCCTCTCACCTGGGCCACCTAAAGTGCTGGGATTACAGGTGTGTACTACCATGCTGGGCCAAAAACACATCTTGAATAACAATAGGCTGGGTGCAATGGCTCACGCCTATAATCCTAGCATTCTGGGAGCCCGAGGTGGGAAGATCCTTGAGCTCAGGAGTTCAGGACCAGCCTAAGGAAGAGCAAGACCCCGTCTCTACTAAAAATAGAAAAATTAGCCGGGTGTCCTGGCTCTCGCCTGTCGTCCCAGCTACTGGGGAGGCTGAGGCAAGAGAATCACTTGAGCCTGGGAGTTTGAAGTTGCAGTAAGCTATAATGAGACCATTGCACTCCAGCTTGAGCGACAGAGCAAGACTCTGTCTCAGGAAAAAAAAAAGATATATTCCTTGAGTTTTTAAAACATTTTTATTCTTAAAGTTTAGCTAGTGCCTTGTTTGTGTCAGATACTGTTTGGTTCTGAGAATAAATCAGTGGCAACAGCAGATATCATTCTCTACTCTTGTGAGGCTTCAAACTAATTTGAAGAACCATGGTATAATTTATATAGAAAGATAGAAAAAAATTAAGTACTGTGGTGTCACTTAGTTGTGGTTCAGTTTTACTTTTGGATGACCTACAATTTTCTTGCTCATTATTGAAGAAAAGGAGAAATAAGGCATTTTTTCAAAATCTTATTATAAAATTATCATTTACAGTATGAAAATTACGTGAACTCATTGAATTAGAATAGTTAAATGCTCTCATTTACAAAATAATAGATGAAATGTTTTAATCACTTTGAGGAGGATGTGGCTTCTCCTGTCAATTCCTGCTTTAACTTGGGAGATTGGAGGCAATAGGGTCTCCTCGACCAAGTAATTCCTGTCAACTCTGGAATGTGTCCTGGGCTTTCTTTGAACTGGCAGTTTATGCTTTAGGAGGCAGGATTTTTTCCTGTGTTTGGTTATTCTTTAATGTTGTTAACAATATTTGTCATTTTTATTTATTTTTATTTTTTTAGAAACATAGGGTCTCATTTGGCTGCCCAGGCTGGAGTGCAGTGGCATGATCATAGCTCATTGTAGCCTTGAACTCCTGTGCTTAGGCATTCTTCCTGGCTCAACCTCCCAAGTAGCTATGGCTACAGGTACGCACCACTGCGTCCTACTAATTTTTTTCTTTTTGTAGAGACAAGGTCTCACTATATTGCCCAGGATGGTCTGGAACTCGTAGCTTCAAATGATCCTCCCACCTTGGCCTCCCAAAGTGCTGAGATTGCAGACATGGGCCATGCCGTCTTTCATTGTTTCATTATGTGCAAAGTGATAGAAGAGACTATCTCTGCTTAGTGAAATTTAGGTGTAGGCAGAACCTTAAAAACTGGCAGGCTAAACTTTGGCCAGGAAATCAGGTACCGACCCTGCAGAGAAGTATGTGGCAGTGGCTTTTTCCCAGCCCCTCAGGTGAGTGCCCTCAGTCACCCTGAAGATGGCTCTTGGAGGCCTGCTGCTCCGCTTAGCTTGGCTTAGCTCCTCTGACCCCCCTCTTCCTAGCCCACAGATGGCATTTTTCATGTCACCGAGAGGCAGTGCTCAGGGGAGAGGCACCTCCTCCCTCTGCCTGCCTGTTCCAGACCTTCTCTCTCAGCTCCTGCCTGTTCACACTGAACACCTCTGTTCTCTAGTCCTCCCTGCGGCTTCAGTCCCTGCAGTCTTCCATTGTCGCTGTGACCTTCCATGAGCCCGAGTCACAGATGCTTTCTGTCCCCTCTTGACCTCTTGGGGGTGTTTAGCACAGCTCCCTCCCTGGAGTCTTCTGTCCTGGGTTCTGAGGGTGCCTTCCCTGGTGCACCTCCCGGCTGTTCCTTTCCCGACATCTGCTGCCTTGGCTGGGGTCACTGCTGGGTGCAGGTGGCAGCGGTGAGGTGACTCTCTCCAGCCCAGACTCCTTTGCTCAGCTCCAGCTTGTGCCGTCACTGCCTATAATAACTTTTTTCTGGATGTTCCCTTAGTTTTCTCAAACTTGGTGTGTATGAAACCAAACTCTTTACCCACACTGCCTTACTTAAAAATAAATAAATAACAGCCCAGGCTCCTTAAGTATAAAAGGTCCTTTGCGGCTGCATCCCTGCTTGCGATTCCAGCCTCTCCATGCACCTCTGCTGCCTTGCTCTGGGTGTGACAGCTGAGACTTGGCTGCTCTCTCAGATCTTCTCTTCACACGTGGAATTCTCTTAGCCTGACAAATTCCTTATCCTCCCTAGGCCCCGGCTCCTGCCGCATGTGGGAATGCTGGTTGCTTCAAGGCTCGGTTTAGGAAATCTCATCCAGACTTGGGTTGAGTTCTGCCACTCAGTTCTGCCACTTCCCCATGTGGCTGGGCGTCGTGAGACCTGACTGAGCCTTAATCTCATCAAATGTAAAACATTAACAAAGTCTGGTTAGGGGTGTGGAAAAATTAGAATTCATGAGTGAGAAGTGCCTTGCACATAGTGGATTCTCACATGTTCCTGAAACTCGTGATGAAATAGTAGGACATGAGCTGGTGTGATCATCTGCTTCTGTTAGAATTCCTGGGGGTTAGATGCCATGGGCCAGAGCTTGAAGGCAAGAGGAGATACATGTTTGTCTTTAAACATTACATTTACTCAAGTTACCTTCTGATTATTAAATGCCCACAAATCATTAAAAACCACAAATGATTATATTATTTAATATTTTTACATAGAATAAAAAAGGATAATTTTTGTGATGTTACTTTTTTCTACAGTACATAATTTATAGCCCTGTCAACTTGATTTTTAAAATAATATTTGCCTTGTGACTCTAGAAGTTAATATAATTTTTACTGGTATTTATGGTTTCTTTCCCTGAAAAAGGCATTGAAAGGATAAAAATGACATACAGCCTCCACTTTCCTAATGTCTGTGACCATTTTATGGTCTTAATTTCTATAGTAGGGTATTTTGTTTTTAAATAAAACCAGAATACAGTTTATTAGTTTATCATGAAGATAAAACTGGGTTCTAGCGATCTAACAAACACATTCTCCCTGTGGACACTGCAGGAAACCAGAGTTTCAGAAACAGGTGTTCACTGAGAATAATCCAACTCAGCAGTTTGTGTGATACAAATGTGCAGGTGTAGTTGGGTTTTTAAAAGCGACACACGGATGTGGGACGCACAGGCATCCAGCGCGTGCCGCGTGCTGGGTCTCATCAAGGTTCTCTCCACCAGGCTGCAGGGCCAGAGGGGTCTCATCGAGTGTGAGCTTTCTCCCTGTTCCTCTTTCTCTCTCCTCTCCCTCTGTCCCTCCCTCTCTCTGGTGGTGGTTTAAATTTCCGTATTAATTTTTAATATTCCCAGAAGCAGAGAGGAGAGGATAGCGACCCTCATTCCTATCATCCAGCTTCAACAATTATCAACATTTTACTTGTCTTGTTATCTAACCCCTCGTTTTTTAGGCTACAGTATTTAATGCAAATCTCACATATGTTATTTCCTCTATAAATTATAGTCAGGTTTTTAGAATTACATGAAGAAATGTTGTGCATGTTGTGTTGGTTTCCTGTGGCTACCATGATAAAACACCATAAACTAAAGGACTTAAAACAGCAGAAATTTATTCTCTCATGATTCTGGAGACCAGAGTCCAACACTGAGGTGTTGGCAGGGCCACTTTCCCTCGGAAGCCTGCCAGGGAGTGTCCCTCTTTTTCCCAGCATCTGGTGCTGCCAGCAACTACTGATGTCCTTGGGCCTGTGAACACCTTGCTGCAGTCCTTGGTGCTGCCAGGGCTGTGTCTTCACGTAGCTGTCATGTTAGGTGGGGCCCACCCCTCCAGTGTGACCTCGTCTTACCTAAGAGAGTGCTCGTGTCTTTTTTGAAACAGGATCTTGCTCTGTCACCCTGGCTGTAGTGCAGTGGCATCATCATACTCGCTGTAACCTCCAACTCCTGGGCTCAAGGGATCTTCCTGCCTCAGCCTTCCGAGTAGCTGGGACCGCAGGTGTGCACCACTCGCCCTGGGTCTCGCTCTGGCTCAGGCTGGTCCCAAACTCCTGAGCTCAAGTGATCCTCCCAAGTGCTAGGATTGTAAGTGTGAGCTGCCTCACCAGGTTCAAGAATGCTCATATTTAAAGCAGGATACAAAATGTAGTATGATTACATTATGACCACATTTTGTTAGGGAAGTATAAACAGATTTTTTAAAATATACCCAGAAAAAATGATGGGAGAGAATGGCAAAAACACTAACGTCAATCACCTCTGGATGTTGGGATTGAAGGTGATTTTACTTTTATATTTTTTTGGTTTTCATAAATCTTCTCTGATCCAACCTGTAGTTAAAAAATTTTAGAAAACTTGCTGTATACAATATCATTTGTAGTACTATTAGTATTTTCAAGTTTTCAAACCTATATGATGGGGGCCAGATGGCTAGATTCTACAGACATGTTTTAGAGCATTTGTTTAATGCGTGTCGTTAAGTGTTTGTAAAAGTACAAATTTGTAAAAGTTCATATAGATTATTACTAGATCAGTGTGAATTTCATAGTTGTGGGTGTTTTCCACAGGACTTTGAGAACTTGTTGCCTGAGCGAAGTTTAGCTGTTCCCAACTGTTCTGAGGACTGCTGACGCAAGGTTAAGTAGCCAGCCACTGAGGGTCCCGATGGCGTACTATTTTCCTGTGTGTTAGCTCTACTGGGAAAAAATGTTGAATAGTTTGAAAACTTTTCTGTTATACACAAATTCTTGATTTTGTTTTGATAACTTTTTTTATAGAATGAAATCCAAATCAAAATGTTATTTTAGTGGGTTTTTTTTAATCTCCTTTACTTTTAGGTGAAAAATTTTGCAGTTATTTATCTTGTGGATATAACAGAAGTACCTGACTTCAACAAAATGTATGAGTTATATGATCCATGTACCGTCATGTTTTTCTTCAGGTACGTTATCTTAAAAGTTGTTATTTAAACGGAATATTGTTGTCGAAGTTTAATATACCTGAGATATTTTTAGAAGAAAGTGGGTTATATGGTTCTATCACAGTCCAGTTTGTTTCACCAGGCAAGCACTGTGGATCCTTTAAATTCTTACTTTGAAAAAATTCAAAGTAAGAATTCAAGTTTTAGTATTTGCTCAGTAACAAATTACCCTTTTGACACAACTTTGCCTGGAAACCTATGTAAAGTATTAATACAATAAAATGGAAGACATTCTTATTGACATTTAAGATACCTTTAACTATAATCTGTTGATTAAAAATGTTTTAAAGTAAGTCAGTTATTAAATATATCAATGATTTTATTTAATGTCCTTTTTTTATATCCAAGGGGAAAACCTGAAATTAATTACTTAGCTTATAAATACAAGATTATTTTATCAGCTTAAAAATTCTATCGTGCAGATTTAATTTGGAAAGAAATCATCATTTGAAATTGTTATTACTTGTCAAAGTTTCTTACTATAGTTACCATAGAGGTTGGTAAATAGCAATATAAGCATTAGACCATATTCCAAAGGTAGAGCCTCCTAATGGGTAAGGAAGGTCTAGGTGGGTTGTGTAGGGTGCGTATTCATTTTATATTCTGTGTTAACACATGCACAAATTTAGCAACTCATATCAACACCCATTTCTTACCTCACAGTTCTGTAGGCGAGACGTCCAGGTAGGGTCAGCTGGAGTCTCTGCCTAAGGTCTCAGCAGGCCAGAGCTGTCATGGACAGCGTGCTTGTCTGAGGGGTTTGAGCAAGAATCCCCTTTGACTCGTTCAGGCTCTGGTCTGAGGCCTGTCCTTTGTGGTGGTGGGTCTGGGATCTGTTTGCTGCTGCTATGGGCCCTGCCTCTCTGCTCTTGGGGACCCTGAGTTGTCACAGCCAGCACCAATATGTTGGGTCTCTCCAGCTTGGAGTTCTGCCTGAGAAAATGTTCTGCTTTCAGAGGGCTCATGTGATTAGTTAGATTCACCTAAACAATCCAGGCTATTTTAAATTTTTTTAATGTATTTATTTTTTAAATTGACATAAAATTGTATGTATTTATTGTGTACAACATGATGTTTTGAAGTATATATACATTGCAGAATGGTTAAACCTAGCTAATTAACAAACACATAACCTTACATAGTTATTTTTGTGGTGAGACTACTTCCATCCACTCTCTTAGCATTTTTCAAGAATACCATATATTGTCATTAAATTTAGCCACCATGCTGTACAATAGATCTCTTGAACTTGTTCCTTCTAACTGTAAATATATATTCTTTTTTTTTTTTTTTTTTTTTTTTGAGACAGAATCTCACTTTGTTGCCTGCCGTGGCGTCAGTCTATCTCACAGCAACCTCAAACTCCTGGGCTCAAGTGATCCTCCTGCTTCAGCCTCCCGAGTAGGTGGGACTACAGGCATGTGCCACCATGCCCGGCTAATTTTTTGTATATTTTATTTTTAGTTGGCCAATTAATTTCTTTCTATTTATAGTAGAGACGGGGTCTCGCTCTTGCTCAGGCTGGTTTTGAACTCCTGACCTGGAGTAATCTGCCCACCTCGGCCTCCCAGAGTGCTAGTGTAAATATATATTCTTTGACCAACATCTCTCCAAGCCCCTGCCCCCTTAGCCACTCTTTCCTCTGGTAACCATTGTTCTACTTTACTTTATGAGATCAACGTTTTTAGATTCCAGACATGAGTGAGATCATGTGATGATTTGTCTTTCTGTGCCTGGCTTATTTCACTTAACATAATTTCCTCCAGGCTTATCCATACCATCACAAATGGCAGGATTGCCTTCTTTTTTATAGCTGAATAGTATTCAGTATTCCATTGTGTATACATTGACCCTTGAGCAACTCGGAAGTTAGAGGTACTGACCCTCCATGCAGTTGAAAATCTCAGTGTAACTTTTGACTCCCTAAAACTTAACTATTAAAAAAGCCTACTATTGTCCAGTAGCCTTTCCAATAACATAGGCAATGAACACATATTTTGTATGTTATATGTATTATATATTGTATTCTTAAAATATATAGTAAGCTAGAGAAAATGTTACTAAGAAAATCATAAGGAAGAGAAAAATACGTTTACTGTTCATCAAGTGGAAGTGAATTACCATACAGGTCTTCATCCTCATCATCTTCACATTGAGTTGGCCTCTTAAAAGATAAATACATTCAAGGCCAGGCTCAGTGGCTCATGCTTGTAATCCTAGCACTCTGGGAGGCTGAGACGGGAGGATCGTTTGAGCTCAGGAGTTCAAGACCAGCTGGAGCAAGAGCGAGACCCCGTCTCTACTGAAAAAAAAAAAATTGAAAGAAATTAGCTGGGCAACTAAAAATATATAGAAAAAATAGCCGGCATGTGGTGCATGCCTGTAGTCCCAGCTACTCGGAGGCTGAGGCAAGAGGGTCGCTTGAGCCCAGAAGTTTGAGGTTGCTGTGAGTTAGGCTGACGCCACAGCACTCTAGCCCGGGCAACAGAGCAAGACTCTGTCTCAAAAACAAAACAAAACAAAACAAGATATACATGTAAAGAATTATCTACTTCCCTAATTATAGAGTTTAAAATGTCATTTTCGCCGGGCGTGGTGGCTCACGCTATAATCTAGCACTTTGGAGGCCGAGGCGGGCGGATTGCTCAAGGTCAGAGTTCGAAACGAAGCTGAGCGAGACCCCGTCTCTACGAAAATAGAAATAACATATTGACCAACTAAAATATATATACCAAAAAGCCGGGCATGGTGGCACAATGCCGTAGTCCCAGCTACCGGAGGCTGAGGCAGTAGGATCGCTGAGCCCAGAGATTGAGGTTGCTGTGAGCCAGGCTGACGCCACGGTACTCCACTCTAGACTGGCAACAGATGAGACTCTGTCTCAAAAAAAAAAAACTGTCATTTTCATTTCACCATTGTAGGACTTTTAATAAAATGTATGCCAGGTGCTCATAAGAGCACTATGAAAAATGTATGTATTGCTTTTTTCAGGCAAATTAATATAATCCTCAGGAAAACAGTGTCTTTCCAAGTGACTGTGTCCTTTGACCTTTTAATCTTTAGGATATTTGTCCTAAAGAAGTGCAGAAAAATATGGGAAAAGCTTGGTGGACAATGCACTGCATCTTTAAAAATCACATTTAGGTTGTTTCCCATCTTCTACCTAAATCATGGAGTACTCTCTTGAGTGTATGTGTTCTTGTCTTAACAACAGGAAAAATATGGCTTTTTCCATGGACTTGTGGGATTTGTGTGGGGTTGACGCCCTGGTCTCTCCGCAGGAACAAGCACATCATGATTGACTTGGGCACCGGCAACAACAACAAGATTAACTGGGCCATGGAGGACAAGCAGGAGATGGTGGACATCATAGAGACTGTGTACCGCGGGGCCCGCAAAGGCCGAGGCCTGGTCGTGTCTCCCAAGGACTACTCCACCAAATACAGATACTGAGCACGGGAGCCGCAGTCTGTGGACACATGTGGAGCTGCTTTCATGTGGAGATGTTTCAAATTATTTAAAGCCTTTGGAAAAGTACATGAAGCTCAAGGGCTGGAGGATTGCTGAGATACGACTACAGGGCCTTAACTAGCTGGAATAAACACGCTGTGATAGCAGTCATAATTGTGCTTACGAAACTTCATGTATAGATTAACTGATTTTGGTAGTCAAAGTGAATTCTTATCTTTACCTTTGGAGTGAGATTAAGGTGCTTACCTATGAGGCTCTTGTATTTCTTTCCTTTTTTTTTTTTTTCTTTTTTCTTTTTTTTTGAGTTAAGGTCTCACTGTGTTGCCTTGCCTGGAGTCATCATAGCTCACTGCAGCCTCCAACCCCTGGGCTAAGTAATCCTGCTTCAGCTTCCCAAGTAGCTGGGACACAGCAGGCATGCACCACCACAGCTGGTTAATTTTGTTTTTTGTAGAGATGCTATTGCGTAGGTATTGTCTAGGCTGGTCTCAAACTCCTGGCCTCAAGTAATCATCCCACCTTGGTATCCCAAAGTCCTGGATTACAGGTGTGAGCCACTGCACCTGGCTGGTTTATTGTTACTGTTGAAACATAAGGAGTACTTAAAAAGAGTGAAACCCATTTTTTACATAAATATACAAATGAGTGTATGCTTTTTAAATTGATTTAAAATTCAAATGAAAATTTATAGTTTAATCTTTTGTGTTAGTTTTCCCATGTATAAAATATGGAAAATCATATTACAGTGACGGGTTGGTGAAAAAAATCCATATGACTTCAAGTACCAGGCATACAACACATTCAATATGACACTCCTAATTTTTCTCTAAATAAGGTAAAACACAAAGCCAGTAAGCACATAAAAAGATACAGAGCATCATTGCCTATTAGAGAAAGGCAAATCAAAACCAAAATGAGATACCACTTCACACCCACTAGGGTCACTAGAATCAAAAAGTCAGATTATAACAAGTGTCGGTGAGGATGTAGAGAAATCAGAACCCTCACTCAGTGCTGGGGGGAATATAAGATGGTCCAGCCACTTTGGGAAATGGGCAGTCTGGTCCTCAGAAAGTTGATCATGTTGGTACCATTTGATCAGCAATCTCACTCCTAGATGTACACCCAAGAGGACTGAACACATGTCCACACAGAAACTTGTATATGGCTGCATTCTTCATGTAGTCAAAAATGTGGAAACCCTCAAGAGATGGATGGAAAAACAAAATGTGATCCCTCCATACAATGAAATATTCAATTGTGAAAAGAAATGAAGTACTGATACATACATGTTAAAATGTGGATGAACCTTGTAAACAGGCTAAGTGAAAGAAACCAGTCAGTCCATATTGTATGATCCCACTTATATGGAATGTCTAGTATAGACAAATCCACAGAGAGAGTAGATTAGTGGTGGTTAAGACTGAGAGGGAGGGGGAATGAGGAGGTGTAGCCAATGGGCACAGGGTTTTGTTTTTTTTTTTTAAGATGATTAAAATGTGTATGATTGTGTTGATGGTTGCACAATCCTGAATATATAAAAAACCATTGAATTGTATATTTTAATTGGGCAAATTGTATGGTATGTGAATTATATGTCTTCTTTTTTGTGTGTGTGTTTTAAATTTGGGTTATTTTTCAGCATATTATGAGGGTACAAATGTTAAGGTTATGTGTATTGCCCTTGCCCCCCGCATATCTCTTATTGATAACAGCTTTATTAGCTGTTACCAGAAAAAGGTAAGCAAAAAATTATCTGCCACATTTGTAAATTTATTGTATATTTATTGTAAATATTTATTTATTTATTTTATATTTTTTTCAGCGTATTATGGAGGTACAAATGTTAAGGTTACATATATTGCCCTTGCCTCCCCTCCCCCCTCGATTCAGGGCTTAAAGTGTGTCCATCCCCTCCCACCTGCCAGACACCTGTTATTGTAAATGTTGAGTCTGTTCAGACTTTCATAACAAAATACTACAGACTGGGTGGCTTGAACAATAGAAATTTGTTTTCTCATGGTTTTGGAGTCTAGAAGTCCCAAGATCAAGGTTCCAGCTGATTTGGTTTCTGGCGACGGCTCCCTTCCTGGCTTGGGGATGGCCGCCTTCTCACTGCGTCCTTACCAGGCCCTCCCTCGGTGCAAGGGAGGGAGACCAGGCAGGCTCTCTGGTGTCTCCTACACGGGCACCATTCCTGTCAGTTCAGGGCCCACCTTTATGACCTCACATAGCTTTAATTACCTCTGTAGAGGCCCCAACTCCAAATACAGACATACTGGGGTTACGCCTTCAACTCAGAATTTTGGGAAGACATAAGCATTCATTCAGTCCATAATATGTATACATTGTAGTAAGTTCATTCACACATGATTTTAGTAACTTTTTTCACTGGTGCTTTGTGATCACAACATAGTTGAATTCATAGTGATTTAGTCTCTGTTCCAAGTTTATCTCGTGCATCTACTGTCTACCTTCCCCTGAGCTAAGTGCTTTGCAAGCAATTTTCTCAAATCCTTACAACCACCTACAAGGTAGATATTTTGCAGACAGGAAAATTAAAGCTTATAGTTCCCCAAGTTAACAACCAGCAACGGAGAATACAAACTTGAAACCTAGGTCTGTGTAGCTACTGAGCCTTGCTTGCTTCATCTGCTGTTTCATGTTGCTTTTATCAAGGTGGAAGTAAGTAGTGGTTCCTGCTTCCCATCTTCCCAGGATGGCTTTTAGGCAAAATCCAGAAATTAGTTATGGCAGCTAACACAGAGGCAGTGCCCCTAGGTTCAGACTAGAGTAAGTAATCAACTTCCTAGAGAAACTGGTACGTGTACACAAAGAGACAGGAAAGGATATTGCAGCATTATTTGGAAACACTACTAATCAAATACTAATAGAAGATGGATCATCAAAGGACTATTACAGAGCAGTTAGAAACTGAACCAGAGCCACACCTGTCAACAGGTGAATCTCACACCACAGAACAGAAAAGCAAGAGGAGGAGCAGGCCACATCCAGAATGGTGTCACTTACATAATGTTTTTGTTATTTTTTTTTTGAGACAGAGTCTCACTTTATTGCCCAGGCTAGAGTGAGTGCCGTGGTGTCAGCCTAGCTCACAGCAACCTCAATCTCCTGGGCTCAAGCAATCCTCCTGCCTCAGCCTCCCGAGTAGCTGGGACTACAGGCATGTGCCACCATGCCTGGCTAATTTTTTCTATATATATTAGTTGGCCAATTAATTTCTTTCTATTTATAGCAGAGACAGGGTCCCACTCTTGCTCAGGCTGGTTTCGAATTCCTGACCTCGAGCAATCCGCCCGCCTCGGCCTCCCAGAGACATAATGTTTTAAGATATTCAGAATAAAGGTCTGAAATGTTAAAACTTGAGGTCACCTATGTTTGCGGTAGGCGTCCCAGGGGCCTCTTTGTGCCTGCACTGATCTCGCACAGAGGGGAGCTTGAGACACACACTACACAACCAGCGCATCCACGTGTAAGCCCACCCTGACAGACCACACGCCAAGTTGAAGTGTGGGCGATCTGTGGCCTCACCAGTTTTCTTTTCCTCTCTTTTTTTTTAGGGACGGGGTCTTGCTCTTGCTCAGCCTGGTCTCCAACTCCTGAGCTCAAGTGATCCTCCGGCTTCAGCCTCCTAGAGTGCTAGGATTACAGGCGTGAGCCACCAGCCTGGCAGTCACTGAGTTTCTTACCTGAAAGTTCATGTGATAATTGGGCAGAAACCCAGAGTGGACACATGTTGGGGATTTGCTTCACGTGTGGGTGCTGTTTTGAATAGATTTCCCTGCGTCACTTTTATTAATGGATTTTAAAATGGGTCTGATCTTCGCACTCTGGCATTTTTACATTCATCCTCAAAAGTTATAGAAGGAATGCCCACAGTATCCTGTCGAGGTTCGTGTTGCCTTGGACGGTCTCGGGTGCTCTACTAAGGACACGGAGCTGGTCTTCCCGCGGTCACTGCTGGTCCACACCCTCCAGCCCTCAGGAAAGTGGCCGTGCTCTCACGGGCCACAAACAGAAAGCATCAAGTAAAAGAGGGCAAAGTATTTTGAAACTCTTGAACGCATTAATTCCAGACAATTTGAGCAGTTTCTGGTTGGCAGGGCTGTGCCAGCGCTGGGCACGCAGTGGTGAGCGGAGTGCATGCGGCAGCCGCCTGGGGAGGACGGTCCCAGGTCACAGCTGTGATGCCCACGTGGCCCCTGCGGTCACGCAGAGCTGCGGTCGCCGGCCTTTTTGGCGACAGGGACTGGTTCCTGGAGGGCAATTTTTCTGCGGGGGTTGGGGGGATGGTTCGGGCGCGCTGCGTTTATGGTGCACTTTGTTTCTACCGTCACTACCTTGTAGCGCATGGGGAAGCGGTGGAACCGCCCGCTGTGGCGCAGCCTCTGCGGACCAGGAGTGTCTGCGGCGGCTCCCGGCGCCGGGCCCTCGCCCGCCGTGCGTGCTCCTGCGGCTGGCGCGGCCGCTGGTGTGGGTTCGGTTCGGGTTCGGGTTGGGGGCTGCGAGCGGTGGGCAGCGGCTGTGGCCAGGTGGGGCTGCGCTCGCCCGCCGTGCGCGCTCTTGCGGCCGCTGGTGTAGGTTCGGGTTCGGGTTCGGGTTGGGGGCTGCGGGCGGTGGGCAGCGGCTGTGGCCAGGTGGGGCTGCGCTCGCCCGCCGTGCGCGCTCCTCCCGATGCGCGGGCGGCGCAGGGTTGGGGACCGCGGACAGAGGACAGCAGGCCCAGACGGGTTCAGGGAGGGGTCCCCAGGAAACCATGTCAGGCTGCAGATTTAAAGGGGCGAGCTAAGAGTGTGAGGGACTTGCTTTCCAGAAGGGGGCCCGCCGGGCCTGCCTGGGAACCGGGGCGCGCAGTCAGTGCTGCGGGGCTCTGGGCTGCGGGAGCCTTCGCCCTGGGAATGAGGGTAACAGGACCAGGCTCCAGTTCTGGGAAGATCTTTCTGACCCTAGTGTAGAAGAAGGTTTGGAGGGGAGAGAGTTAGGCGTCTCCAGTGCTGGAGTGGACGCGGTGGCGCCTGTAGTCCCAGTGACTTAAGAGGATCGCTTGAGCCCAGGAGGAGCTCAAGTCCAACCTGGGTAGCATCGCAAAACCCATCTTTAAGAAAAATAAAATGAAAGTCTGTGGTGATACATCAAGCAAGAGACATGGTTGAAGTGGAGATGTTACAAGTTTAATATATAGCTTGGTTTGCATGTTAAATAAGAAGTATATTCTGATAAAGGAAGTTGTGTGTTTTCACTTAAAATTTGAGAATTTAAAACTTCAGAAAATTGCAACCAGACTACTTTATTTGACCCTTTGTTATAGCTTTATGTTTTCTCAAGTTTCATAACTTTGTGTTCAATGAGTTTTAAATTATAGGTATATTAATATTGCATTTGATATTGAATTAGCTCCATTTTACTTATTCTATGAGTAAACTGCATCCTACATAAATTTTGTATTGACTTTAGGGATATACAACTTTAAACAATGAATATTAAAGTAGAACAAGAGTGTTTAACCCATGTAAATTTGTCTATTTCTCAGCAGGGCATGGTGGCTCACTCCTGTAATCCTAGCACTCTGGGAGGCCAAGGCGGGAGGATAGCTCAAGCTCAGGAGTTCGAAACCAGCCTGAGCAAGAGTGAGACCCCTGTCTCTACTAAAAATAGAAAGAAATTAATTGGCCAACTAAAAATATATAGAAAAAATTAGCCGGGCATGGTGGCGCATGCCTGTAGTCCCAGCTACTCGGGAGGCTGAGGCAGGAGGATTGCTTGAGCCCAGGAGTTTGAGGTTGCTGTGAGCTAGGCTGATGCCATGGCACTCTAGCCCGGGCAGCAGAGTGAGACTCTGTCTCAAAAATAAATAAATAAATAAATTTGTCTATTTCTCTTTTCCTTATGAAAACTTGCAGAGCTTCTTACATATTTGTAATTTTCCAAGTTGGTAGAAAACAGCAATCACTTATAAAAATGTCAGGAAGATGTTTAAACAGGTACTGATACTATATAAAGCCAAATGATTTCCTTAAAGGTGGGTGTCTGTGGTTTACACGGATATTTGAGATGTTAGATGGCAGCCTATAAAGGAGATCAACTTAGAACTTTATTTATAAAGAAGTTAGTGTATATTTTTACAGTCTGAAAGTTTTTATTTTAGTTAATAATTAATTGAAGCTTTCTTTTCTATTAATACTTAATTTCTTTAAAATACTGGGTTTATAATCTGTGTTCTGTGTTACTGATGAGGATTCAAATCTGTTTGGTTTACTTCAACTCAAATATCTACTGTAGCTTCTACTAAAATTACAATTACAGCTAAAATTACAATTACAATTATGCTTTGAGATTCGTCACAGAATCAAATGGAACTATTATGATTTTAAACCACCAAGAATATTGAATTTAAATGATGCAATTTTATTAATGAAGCTTTGCGTTGGCTGTTTGGGACGCTGCTGTTTGGAGTGTCCAAGGTGCTTCCTCCCCAGATGCGTGTGGCTGGATGCCCTGCCCTCCATCCGGCTGCTGACCCTATGAAGTACACAGAGACCTCCTGGGCACTTGCTCATCCTGGCATCATTTACAACAGCGTGAAAGTGGAAAATAACCTCTATGTCCAAGAGGCTAGTTAACACTTAAGCTAAATAGTTTAAATTATTACAGCCCTAAGATAGAATATTAGGCAGCCAAAGAAAAAAGTGTGCATGAAATTTTCACAAGGAAGAAATGTTTATGATTAAGTGAAAAGAAAACAGGATACTACATTATAAGCAATATGATCAGCTATAAATTTGTATGCATAGAAAATGTTAACAGTGGTTAATTGGTAGAATTATGAGTGATTTTGCATTTTTCAATTTTTTTAATTAAATTTTTGTAGAGACGCAGTCTCCCCATGTTGTCCAGGCTGGTCTGGAACTCCTGGGCTCAAGCGATCCTCCCACCTTGGCCTCCCAAAATGCTAGGATTACAGGCATAAGCCACCATGCCTGTCTTAATTTTGAGTTTTGTATGAATACGATTTAATATACACAGGTATTTTTTTTAAAGAGAGACTATAATTGACTTGTTTTTAAGGTAATAATAGCTGTGTTTTATTTTGGCTTGGAGAGGAGTGAATTGAAAAGTAATCTTGAATGGTAATCCTTTCCTTAGCAATTACTTCTACAGGGTGGAGTGGGTGAAGGGTTAACCTCAGGACTCAGGAAAGCTCTGTTTGGTAAAAACAACAGCAATAACAACAAACGCCAATAAAAGGTAAGATTCATGAAGGATAACTGGTTTCTTTTAGGAAGTAAAGACTGAATTTCTCAATCACTTTTTTTTTTTTTTTTTTTTTTTTTTTTAGCCAGAGTCTCACTCTGTTGCCCAGGCTAGAGTGAGTGCCATGGCATCAGCCTACCTCACAGCAACCTCAAACTCCTGGGCTCAAGCAATCCTTCTGCCTCAGCCTCCCGAGTAGCTGGGACTACAGGCATGCACCACCATGCCCGGCTAATTTTTTCTATGTATTTTTAGTGTCCAATTTCTTTCTATTTTTAGTAGAGATGGGGTCTTGCTCTTGCTCAGGCTGGTTTTGAACTCCTGACCTTGAGCGATCCGCCTGCCTCGGCCTCCCAGAGTGCTAGGATTACAGTGTTTTCTTATTTTTATTAATAGTTTGGTTTGATTTGACTTGGTTTGGAGTTTTTTGAGTCTTATTTAGTTTGGAGAACAATTGCTGTGAGAATCTATTTGGACTAGACATATTAAAATGAGTCTTTCTAAAAAGCATGTGACTAGAAATGAGCTGGAATGCAGCTTCTGTTGGAAAACTGCTTATGATCTTTTTTAAAAAAGATCTGTATAGAATTTTAATTTGGAAAAATATTTGAACTAATATAGCTATATGCTTTTCATCCACAGTGCGTAAATACTAGGTATGCATTGAGAAATATTCTGTTATTTACAACCATCTTTGGTGAGTGCTTTGTCACCTCTGAATTATATTCTTCCTTCATTGTCTTTGTTCCTTTATTCTCTTATTTTACTAAAATGAATTTTTAAATTAAATGCAGAAAATCAGAATCGTATTACATAGATTATTACTCAAAGTAGAGTTTTCCTTTTATTACAGTTTCAAGTGACTTGTCTAATAACATCTTCAGGTCTGTAAGAAAAAATATGGAGAGAAGTAATGGTTGATTTATATACCAATTAAAGTACAATTAAATAAATCCAAATCCAAAGTTTTCAATAAAGTACCTTAATTTCCCATATTAAAACATTTTTGTACAGAAATATTCAGAATACAGAAAAACATAAATGTTAAATGATTTTCCTTTTAGTCAAAGGGGAGTCGATGTGGATTGAAACTCAAAATGAATCAACGGGGTGCACCCTCCAAACGAGAAAACATTACATCATGTTGGTGATTCTCCGTTACCATCTAACCATCAAGATTTTCCAGGAAATCATACTTTGCCAATAGTATGTCACCTATTTGCATTTTATTATTTTTTTATTCTTTCTTATTTTGTACTTTAAATAAATGCAGAAAAAGTATTACAGACATTGTAGTTTATTGGGGAGGCTGATAAAATGTCAACTCTATCAGGATGCAGGACAGCTTTTAACATTTCAGGATAACGGACTCTTCTCCCCAACAGAAGCACAATTTTAGGTCTTTGCAGAATCCCCTGAAATCCACTCTACCCTCCCATAACCAACTCACAGACTGATCCAGACAGATTTAAACTTACTTTTTTTTGGTCTTTCTTTTAATTTAAAAGACATTTTGAGCTTTGTTTTTTAAATTTTTTTCAGCTTTTAAATAAACTTCTAGATATCTTTCTCTCATGCTGCCTTTATGGCTGTATGTGCATCAAAAAAGTGAAGTTTTGACAATGACTTAACCATTTAATTGATGGCTAATAATTAATTATGTCTTAATCTAATTTGAAACAGCCAGCTGGACCCTGGGCAGTTCATCCTCATTCTAGTAGTTGCCGGACTGCTACCCGTGCCTTTCCCTGTGCTAGGCCAGGTTTATGTGGGCCCTGCCCTCAAGCCCTTGGCTTTGGGTGGATGGGTGCCTGGGCCTCAAGAGATCTGGAATTTGATGTGGGAGGGTGAAGGCTTAGAATCCAGGCAGCCTGGAGAAGGCTGCTTCTGGGCAGGTGGGACCTGTTCGAGCTGAACAGGTAAAGCTCTGTTTTTTCACTTTGCAGATGAAAGTTTAGAGACCCTCCCCTTTGATGTTTTGCAGCTTCTGTTTAGAGGACACAGTTTACAGTGATCTTATTTACCAGAATACCAGCTTTAGATATTAATAGGTCACTGATCAGTGAACTAGCTCTGATTGAACAGGATAATTTGCCAGCTGATTTAGGATAACCATTCTCAGTAAACAAATTGTTTACTGAGAATTTAATTTGTTTAAATTGTTCAATTAAAATATGTTTGCATATTCAGAATATTATAATATTCGTGAATGCTTTAATAAAACAAAGTTATATATCTCCATATATGTTACATGGACGTAAATCCAGTCTACTACCCGAAACTCAGTATTTATGTGCATCTTCAAGGATAAGTGTGAAATTCCACCAGAAAGGGAACGTTCCCATTGCAGGTGGCCAGGGTGGGGTCCTCAGGGCCAGTCATGGAATGTGTCAGGGCTTCATGTACACATGAATCCTTTTTAAACGGTTACATGAACATGTAATCTCAAAAAGAAACTACCAGTTCTGTAGTTAACTTGTTATGATTTGTGTGTTTTGATTGAAGACTAACTTAAGGGGAAGAGTGAAAATAAAATCTGATTTTTAAATAATACAGTTTTTCATTTTAAATGTGTACTTTTTAAGGAATTATGACAGAATGTTTTAGTTAGTCTATTTAGAAAAGGGCATTTGGGAATATCTTTTATTATTTCTAGAGATTTTCATGTAGCACAGAGGCAATAATTCTCATAGTGAACAAATATGGGATTGTATTTTTCAGGGTGAAAGCAATCAAAAGATATGTGAAAGGTAACAATGACCTTACCATTTGTTCTTTAATAGAGTTTTCAATCCCAGCTTGCACCATTAAGTCATTTACATTCTTCTGCAAGTCCTCAATGCGATGCCCCATTTCTTCCAGTACAATGTTGAGGAGAACTGCATGTGTAGAATGGGAGCCCCGAGAAGCCAAAGACACCCTCGAAGACCCTCCCTCCAATTGCATCTGCTCTTCCTGGGTACTCATGAAATGCCATGGCAGATGCACCCTGCAAAATGAGGGCCTCCGAGGCAGCCGTAATGTGGGTGCATGTCAGCTACTTTCCCCGAGTTTTCTTGGTGTGTACCTTTAACCACTGAACTGTGAGCTCGGTTGTGAAAAGTGGGCTCCCCTTGCTTGGACGTAGATTTGCGGATATGAGGCCGTCTGGTATGTTTTAGCCAAACTCTAAGCATGTAAATATAATAGTAGAAATAAACTTATTTTTTATAAATGGGGAGGGCGGGGGCGGGGCTCTTGCTTTGTTGCCCAGGCTGGCCTCAGACTCCTGGGCCCAAGCCGTCCTCCTGCCTTGGTCTCCGGAGTTAGCTGGGCCTACTGTACATAGTATTCCTTGTAATCTATACTTGCCATGCCAAATGTGCGGTATTGCTGGTCACACAGGAAGTAAAACCTGCTAGGAGAGAATGGTAATTCACAACCAGGATGCCACACAAAATGTCAAAGGTAAGTACTGGGAAATCTTAGGCAGACAATCATCTACCGACAGCAGACAGCAAAAAGATGCTCCAAGGCCGGGCGTGGTGGCTCACGCCTGTAATCCTAGCACTCTGGGAGGCCAAGGTGGGTGGATTGCTTGAGTTGGAGTTCGAAATCAGCCTGAGCAAGACTCTGTCTCTACTAAAAATAGAAAGAAATTAATTGACCAACTAAAAATATATATACAAAAAATTAGCCGGGCATGGTGGCACATGCCTGTGGTCCCAGCTACTTGGGAAGCTGAGGCAGGAGGATTGCTTGAGCCCAGGAGTTTGAGGCTGCTGTGAGCTAGGCTGACGCCACGGCACTCACTCTAGCCTGGGCAACAAAGTGAAACTCTGTCTCAAAAAAAAAAAGATGCTCCAAGACAGTTTAACAGTGGGAAAGCACTGCAGCATTTGTGAAAGATAGAAAAGGATATTTCTGATGGTTAATGTTGCAGTCAGAGCTTGAAAATGTTCTTGAAGTTCCTGAATCAGATTTTCTGCCTGAAAAAATGAAACAAAAGGCAACTGAATATAACATTTACTACTAGTGTACGGCACTTTAAGTATGTTGGAATAGACTCGTCCACAAATGGTCCTCTGACTTTTGACAAAGGCGCCAAAGCCTTTCGGTTTAGCGGACGAAGGAACTCTTCCCAACAGATAGAGCCGCGTGCAAGCCGAGTTAGGGGAGAGCCTGGCCTCCCTCACCTGGCCGCGGGAACCAGACCGGCACCTGACAGACAGAGGCGACCTGGGTAACTTGGGTTCCTCAAGGCCCCTCCAGGTGACCGGAAGTCGCCGCAGCCTCTCAGAGTGGGGCTCTCTTACACTTCCGCGGATCTCTATGGCTGGCATTGGAACCGCGAAAGCGCACCAGGCGGTCGCGGGAATCTCGCTGTCTAAGTCGCCAACAGCGTGTCGTGTCGCGCGTCACAGACCTGGGCGTTTCCCAGCTGGGCGCGGCCGCCTGCGTCTGCGTGACCGCGGATTAGTCTGCGCCTCCTAAGGCGCCCTGCAGAGCCCACGCCTCTTCCTCGGGACTAGTGTCCCCGGTCTGGAACTCGGGCGGGCGAGCGGGGAGGCTCCCGCAACCACCCGCAGACCCAGGCAGGGAGGGCGGGAGACGCGAGGAAGGAGGAAGCGGTGGAGGAGGGATGCGGAACGAGGCACTCACGCGGTCCCGCACCCACCCGCAGACCCAGGCAGGGAGGGCGGGGAGACGCGAGAAAGGAGGAAGTGGGTGGAGGAGGGGATGCGGGAACAGGCACTCACCGCGTCCCGCACCCACCCCGCAGACCCAGGCAGGGAGGGCGGGGAGACGCGAGGAAGGAGGAAGCGGGTGGAGGAGGGGATGCGGGAACCAGGCACTCACCGCGTCCCGCACCCACCCCGCAGACCCAGGCAGGGAGGGCGGGGAACGCGAGAAAGGAGGAAGTGGGTGGAGAGGGATGGGGAACAGGCACTCACCGCGTCGCCACCCACCCCGCAGACCCAGGCAGGGAGGCGGGAGACGCAAGGATGGAGGAAGCGGGTGGAGGGGGATGCGGAACCGAGGCACTCACGCGTCCGCACCCACCCCGCAGACCCAGGCAGGGAGGGGGAGACGCGAGGATGAGGAAGCGGGTGGAGGAGGGGATGCGGGAACAGGCACTCACCGCGTCCCGAAGCACGGCCCCGCCGGGGGTTTCTGGGCCCCGCGTGTCCATGTGGCTGCAGGCCAGAGCGTGGGGCCCGGGGCGTGAGGTCCAGTCCCGCGTGGTAGCGGCTCCCCGCTTGGCCCCTTTGCAGCCCGCAGCCAGGCTGCCTGGCGGGACACGGCACCCGCGGGACCCTGCACCTGCGGGACCCTGCACCTCGGGACGTGGCACCTGCAGGACCCTACACCTGCCGGACGCTGCACCTGCGGGACCCTGCACCCGCGGGACCCTACACCTTCGGGACCCTGCACCTGGGGGACGCTGCACCTGCGGGACGCTGCACCTGCGGGACGCGGCACCCGCGGGACCCTGCACCTGCGGGACCCTGCACCTGCGGGATGCTGCACCTGCGCGGAGGCCGGCGCCGGGCGGGAGCGGCTCCTGGGCCGGGCGCGGTGTCCTGCGGTCAGAGAAGCAGGCGGTCGCCAGGGGAGCCGGGGCTGCTACTGTTGTAGTTGTGGTAAAGGAGACATGACAGAAGTCACCATCTTAACGCCAGGTGCGCAGTCCAGCGGCATGAGCACGCACACTGCGGCGCAACCGAGCCGCGGCTGTCTCCAGGCTTCCATCCTCCCAACCGGGCTCGCCCCCGCCAAACGCGGACCCCTTCCCCAGCCCCTGGCACCACCACCTGCCTTTTCTCCGCACAACCTGTGTTCAAGCGGCGCTGCCGCCTCTCTAACCTGCGACCTGGAGGCTCAGGGCGATCTGGGGCCACCCAGCCCCAAACACGCCACCGCCTGGGCGGTCAATTTGCCGCCTCTCCACTCTGCTGTTTCTGCAGATGTCAACTTTACGAACGGCTGTGGCCATTCCTGACCCCCCAACCCCAACACACACCTCCGTGTGTCTCTGGAAGCCAGACCCCAAGGTCCTTCCCGTCTCAGACTCGAGTGGTGGCTCGTGGGCCGCCTGGGGTGACCGGCCTCCCAGGCCCCTGTGCTCAGCAGTTACCTGTTTTGTTCACACGTCTGTTCGCTCTCGGGCTTGGAGCTCTGTGGGAGCAAAGCAGAGTCTCCGGGTTACGCCGGCAGCCGGGGAGCCCAGCCCAGTGAGGACTCGTTCCCCAGGGTTGCTGAATGTGTGCACAGGTAAAACAAGGCCAGGCACGCGCACACCGCCGTCCTCGGGAGCACGGAAGCAAAGCCACAGTGAGATCCCACTTCGCAGCCACAGGGACGGCTAGAATTAGACAAGAACAGTGTTGGACGGTGTGGGAATGACGCTCACCCACACACAGCTGGTGGGATGTGGCGCAGGGCGGCTGCTGGGCTGGTCCTCAGAGAGCTCAGCAGAGTGAGCGGTGACCCAGCCACTCCACCCCTGGGGGACGCCCAGGGACACAACAACATGGCATTGTCACCCCTCGGCAGACGTGCTTTTGTGCGATGGCGAGTCTCAGCCGTAAACAGGAAGGAACCCTGACACACGCTGCAACAGGGGTGAACGTGGTGCAGACACCAGCGGCAAAAGGACAGGCAGTGTGACTCCGTGTGCACGAAGCGTCCAGAGCAGGCAAAGCCATGGAGACAGAAAGCAGGCGGGAGAGTGGCAGGGACTGCCCAAGAGGCCAGGGATTTCTTTGGGGGGGCGGACAAACAATGTTCTAGAATTAGATTGTGGTGAGAGTTGCACAACCCTGGGAACACACTAAAACCCAATGATTTGTTCCCTTAAATGGGTGGATTTTATGATACATGAACTGTATCTCAAAGCTATTAAAATGATAATTTTTTAAAAGCATGGCCATTTTGCCAGTTCTTGTGTCCTTTTGGCGTCTTCCTCTTTTTCCCTTCTCTGAGAGGGGCTGAGATGGGAACAGTTGCAACAGACTCTGGGCGCTCAGGGAAAGGCAGGCTGAGCTGCCGCCCAAGGATGGCTCAGGGGCGAGGAATCCTGTCAGACCGCTTCTGGTTTCTCTTTGAAGGCTGAGGCTGCTGAGGAGGAGGCGGAGGGTGGGGAGGAGAGGGTGCAGCCAGCCCTGTGCCCAGGAAGTCGGCTGCTTGGCATGAGGGCAGTGAGTCCACGTTTCCGTCTGAAAGACGCTTTGGTTGCAAGGACCAGAACTCACGCGAGCTAACTCAAGGAAAACAGGAAATTATTCAGGAGCGAGACAAGGCAAAGAGCTGAGATGGCCAGCCTTCAGCCCTACCAGACTCTCTGGAGAATGTTCTAGTCTCCGGAGATGGGAGGAGCCGGACATAGGTGGCTGGGACTTGGGTGGGGTCCTTCTTCAGCCCACAGGCATGAAACCTGTCAGACGGCCTTCCTTCTTTCCTTACTTCCAGAAGGTCCTGGCACCTCCCCTCCTTTATTCTGAGAGCACTGAGACCAGGCTTTACTCCAGGGACAGCTGGCACTGCTGGCCCTGCACCAGCTGATTTTCAGGGACAGGGGTGCAGAGCAAACAGGATGCACGAGGGTGCGAGGCCGCTCCCTGGCTGGCCCACTGCTTTTCACATGGCTCAGGAGCCACATGGCTCAGATGCCACCAGCTGACCAGTAATAAAGCACTCCTGACATCCACACCAGGGAAGGCACACCTGAGCAGGGACTCTGGAGGGCCCACGAGCACCCCGTGGTGCTGGCCACCTTCAGGTGCTGGCCAGCTGCAGGGTGTCGGCCCACAGGCTCCCCGTGGCACGCTTTTCCCATTGCAGACAACGTAACAGCAGGTGCCCAGCCTGCCCCTAGCAGCCTGGAGCCAGCACTGCCGACAGGAAGAGCCCCATCTCGGCCTGCACGTGCCTTGGCCACCAGGCAAGGCTCGCACAAGCCGTCCCTCCAGCCTCAGGTCCCTTCAGGGCAGGCCTCCAGAGCAGCCTGAGCAGGACAGCCCCAGGCCCCACCAGGGCAGGCTCGCAGGTCTGGGCAGACGACAAGGGACTGCCTGGAACAAAGCTCCTGCTGGATGTGATGGAGATGACCCAGCCCCATCCTTCAGGAAACAGCTCCAGGATGCCTGGCAGGCCCAAGGCAGCAGGCAGTCCCACAGTGGGGCCCAGTATCCCTCATTCTTAGAGCAAGGGAGGCTCAGATCACTGTCATGGGAGGTCAGGGAGCTGGGCCAGAAGTTGAGTGATGTGACTGAGACCCTGAGTGAATGGTCTATCTTATAAAGCCTGACTTGACTTTCTCTGGCATAAAAGTACATCTTCCCAGCCAGGCACAGTGGCTCATGCCTATAATCTCAGCGCATTGTGGGGCTGAGGTGAGAGGATCACTTGAGGCCAGGAGTTCAAGACCAGCAACATAGCAAGATCCAGTCTCTACAAAAAGTTAAAAGATTAACCGGGCATGGTGGCTCGTGCCTGCAGTCCCAGCTACTCAGGAAGCTGAGGCAGGAGGATCTCTCAAGCTCAGGAGTTTGAGGCTGCACTGAGCTGTGATGATGACACTGCACTCCAGCAACTGGATATCCACAAGCCAGAGAAGGAAGCTGCGCTTCCCTTATATCACGTCTAAAAATTAACTCAAAATGGACCAAATACCTAAACATAGGAGCCAAAACTGTAAAACTCTTAGAAAAAGACATAGGAGAAAAGCTTCATTATATCAGATTTGGCCATTATATTTTGGATATGACACCAAAAGCACAGGCCACAACAATAAAAATAGATAAACTGGACTTCCTGAAGATTAAAATTTTTGTGCATCAAAGGACACTACCAACAGAGTGAAAAGGCAGCCCACAGAATAGGAAGAGATACTTGCAAATCATATCTCTGATAAGGAACTGGTGTCCAGAATATATAAAGTGCTTCTACAACTTAACAACAATAAAACCAACCTGATTCAAACATTCGGAAAGAGCCAAGTGTAGTGGCTGACGCCTGTAATCCCTGCACTTTGGGGAGCCAAGGTGGGAGGATCACTTGAGGCCAGGAGTTGAGAGACCAACCTGTTCAACAAAACACTTTAAAAATTATTTGGGCAAGGTGGTTCCAGGCTGTAGTTCCAGCTACTTGGGAGGCTGAGGCAGGAGGATCACTTGAGCCCAGGAGTTGGAGGTTACAGTGAGCTATGATTACGCCACTGCACTCCAGCCTGGGTGACAGAGCAAGACCCTATATAAAATAAGATAAAAGACATAAAATAAAAAATAAAATATTAAATTAGATTAAAAAATGGAAAGGACGTGAATAGACGTTTCTCCAAAGAAGATATAGAAATGGCCAATAAACACATGAAAAGATGTTCAACATCCCTAGTCATCCAGGAAATGCAAATCAAAACCACAATGAGATATCATTTGCTATGGTTTGAATGAGTCCTCCAAAGTTCGTGTGTTGGAAATTCAATCCCCAATGCAGCAATGTTGAGAAGTGGGGCCTTTAAGAGGTGATTAGGCTGTGGGTGCTCTGCCCGCAAGAGTGGATTCATGCCCTTATTGTGGACGTGGATTAGGTATCATGGGAATGGGTTCCTGATCAGAGGATGAGTTTGGTCTCTCTCGCTCCCTCTCTTTCTCTCTCTCACACTCTCTTGCCCTTCCGCCTTCTGCCATGGGAGGACATAGCAAGGAGGCCTCGCCAGATGCCAGCCCTTCAATCTTGGACTTCTAGGCCTCCAAAACTGTAAGAAATATATCTCTGTTCTTTATAAATTACACAGCCTAGGCCGGGCACAGTGGCTCACGCCTATAATCCTAGCTCTCTGGGAGGTCGAGGCGGGCGGATCGTTTGAGTTCAGGAGTTCGAAACCAGCCTGAGCAAGAGCGAGACCCCGTCTCTACTATAAATAGAAAGAAATTAATTGGCCAACTAATATATATAGAAAAAATAAGATTGCTTTGAGCCAGCCCAGAAGTTTGAGGTTGCTGTGAGCTAGGCTGATGCTATGGCACTCTAGCCGGGCAACAGAATGAGACTCTGTCTCAAAAATAAATAAATAAATAAATAAATAATAATTCAATGGGAGAGCCAAAGATAACCAAGGGTTTCCCAGGTCCTGGAATTCTTAGCCTAGGGTTTGAAGCTGGGAAAGTGTACTTAAAATAACATTATTGTGGTGAAGTATACATAACGTAACATTTACCATTTTCACTATTATTAAGTCCACACTTCTGAGGCATCGAGGACACTCACATTGAGTGCAACATCCCATCATCTCCAAAATTGTTCCTCTTCCCAGACGGAAACTCTGCACCCTTAATATCGAACTCCCCATGCCCTCCCCAGGCCCTAGCACCACCATTCTACTGTCTGTCTCTATGAATTTGGCGACTTAGGGACCTCATATAAGTGGAGTCAAACAGTATTTGTCCTTTTGTAACTGGCTTATTTTATTTAGCAAAATGACTTCAAAGTTCATCCACGTTGCAGCACACCAGAATTTCCTAGGGCTTGGTAGTATCACCTTGTGTGTACAGATCACATTCTGTTTATCCGTTCGTCTGTCAGTGGACACTCCGGCTGCTTCCACCTGCTGGCTGCTGTGAACATGGGTGTGCAAATATGTGTTCCAGCCCCTGATTTCAGTTCTTTCAGATCTATACCCAGAAGTGGGATTGCTGGATCATATGGTCATTCCATATTTAATTTTTTTAGGCACTGCCAGACTGTTTTTCCATAGCAGCTGCCCCATTTTACATTCCCACCAGCAATGCATAGGGTCTGATTTCTCCACATCATGGCCAACACTTGTTGCCTGTGTTGCCATAACAGAATACTCAAGGCTGTGTAATTTATTTTATCTATTTTATTTTATTTATTTATTTTGAGACAGAGTCTCACTTTGTTGCCCAGGCTAGAGTGAGTGCCGTGGCGTCAGCCTAGCTCACAGCAACCTCAAACTCCTGGCTCAAGCAATCCTGCTGCCTCAGCCTCCCGAGTAGCTGGGACTACAGGCATGCCACCATGGCCTGCTGC